GTATTCCATTGTAGCCTCTTAAAACCCCTGGTGGGATTGACCCCGAGGCCCCTACCTCGAGAGCCCCCAGACCCCATGGTTATAGGAGGCCAAACCCATTATGAGGTGCCGCGAATCCTTGATTCGAGGTGGCACAGGAGACAACTCCAATATTTGATCAAGCGGAAGGGCTACCCCTTATCAGAGGCATCTTGGGTAAAGAGTAGGAACATCCAAGCCTTGTGACAAGGTTCCATACAGAAAACCCACCCAAGCTTGGGGGTGGTCCACCACCCAAGGTCCTATACCTGCAATAATTTGTTTTCTTTTTGTGTTGTACAGGTCACCTTCAAGAAGTGAGCGGAGTCGAATGTCAACTCATAAAATAATTCTATGGTCTTTTCGAGTTGCCAACAGAAAGGGAGGGGGAGCAGTGTGACAGCTTGCAACTGAAACTGCATTCCATAAATGTTTTCAAGATGGTAACTACCCTGTTTCTCCAACAATACGGCCTCCCCCAATAGGAAGTCCCAGCATGTTTTATAGGCATGAAATGAAATTAAGCCCCTCCCCCAAATTAAGGCCTATATTAAAACATGCGAAATGGGGGGGGGAATGGTGGGGGGGGGCTTGCCGTTAGGAAGTACTTTTGTTGCACACCCGGATATGGTGCTACCTGCATTGACCCCGATACGAAGTGCCCCACCAATGCTGAGGTCAACATCCAAGCTGTCGCCGCCCACCTGAAGATGCAAGGGGGGGGGAATTAAGTCACCCCCGAAAAGACGGCCTAGCCATTTTTTCGGGGCTCAAAAAAAAATAAGACCCGGCCTTATTATATGAGAAACACAGTAGGTAACTGAAGTTTCTGCTGCGCAAAATTCTAACTGGAGCATGATTGATGACTTTTGGATATGGATGTGTCTCATTGGAGAATACAAATTATGATACATCCAGGGGTGGGGGAAAACCTGGGTGACAATGAATGATGTGTCTCAGAGTTGGCTATACCCAAGCGATGCCACACCTTTTAACTCCCAATAAATCCTTTTGAAGTTTTGGAAGCCTGGCTTGAGATTCATGATTTAAATGGGATTAAGTGCCGGAATCCTGACAGCTAGCCAACTCTGAGACTCTGGGACACTTAAGGCACTTAACCTTAACCTGACATCATCATAAAATATGGTCACATGACTGCAGGATGCTGCACGACTGTAAACGCACGCATGTTGGCAAGCACTCAAAGTGTGGTCACATGAGGTTGTCAGTTCCCTTTTTTAGGTAGGCTGTAATTTACAGATTACAGATTAACAGAGTTGGAAGGGACCTTGTAGGTCATCTAGTCCAACCCTCTGCCAAGCAGGAGATGCTACACTATTTCTGACAGATGGCAGTCCAGTCTCTTCTTGAAAGCCTCCAGGCTTTCAAGAAGCTCCCACAACTTGTGAAGGCAACTTCTGTTCCATTGGTAGATTGTTCTCACTGTCAGAAACTTTCTCCTTATTTCTAAGCTGAATCTCTCCTTGACCAGTTTCCATCCATTGCTCCTTGTCTGGCCTTCAGGTGCTTTGGAAAATAGCTTGACCCCCTCCCCTCTGTGGCAGCCCCTCAAATATTGGAAGATTGCTATCATGTCTCCCTTGGTCCTTCTTTTCATTAGACTAACTATGCCCAGTTCCTGTAACCGTTCTTCATATGTTTTAGCCTCCAGTCCCCTAATCATCTTGGTTGCTCTTCTCTGCACTCTTTCTAGAGTCTCAACCTCTTTTCCATAATGTGTTGACCAAAACTGGATGCAGTACTCTGGGTATGGTCTTACTAAGGCTTTATAGAGTGGTATTCGTACCTCACTTCAAGTGATTAACCTTGAGTTTGTATCTATTGTTTGCTCTAATGTTGTTATGGTTGAAGCTGAAGTATTCATTGACAGGTAGGACATTGCAATGTATGATTTTATATACTATACTTAGATCAGACCGAAGACAGCATAGTTCAAGATTTTCTAGGTCTAGAATTTCGAGTCTGGTGGCATAAGGTATGCTGCAACGAGTAGAGGAGTGGAGAACTCTTCTTGTGAAATAATTCTGGACTTTCTCAACTGTATTAATATCAGATACGTAATGTGGGTTCCAGACTGATGAGCTGTATTCGAGTATTGGTCTAGCAAATGTTTTGTATGCTCTAGTTAATAGTGTGATATTACCAAAGAAAAAGGAGAGTTGCGTACTTACACAACCCATATTCCTGCTCTGAGATTCATTTTATTTGTGTTTTTTGCCTGCCTTATCAAATTCTGGTGGCTGCAAGATGAATGGGATTCCCTTCGTTGGATGATCATAATTTGATCGCTCTTCTGGCAAGAGAAGTGCAGGTGGCGGAGGAAACATGAGCTGTCAATTAACCTTCCAACTCCTCCAAATGCCCTGGAGAAAGCAATGGCTTGCCAAGCAAGGTGCCAACTAGCGTCAGTTGATCCTGATACTCACCACTCAGCAAGAACAAAAACACATTCAGTGTCTGCTGGATAGAAAACAGCAGCATGGATTTTTTTTCAAGGAGAACCATTGCATGGGGGGGAGGAAGAGGCAAAATGCAAACACAGTTAAGAAAAGGACAGATGAGTTATAGAGCAGCAGAACATGATAAATTGGCCCTTTGGACTCTGAAACCAAGCCACTGTTCCTAAGATTTGGATTTGACCCCACATGGAAAGAGTGTTCTGTTAGTGTGAAAAGGAAACACACCTGGGAGGGGATGAAAACACACACGCATACAAACAAATTCTACCGTTCAAAGTTGCATTAACATACAGTATGCCTCATCTCATTTCCAGACTTAAAGGCCAACAGCTTTATATATGTTGCCTGCCTTCTTTCTTCCAATAATTGTGTGATTTTGTTTATTATATTTGGAGTGATGAATTTGGCATCCCTCCAATGCAAGTAATGGGTACTAACAATTGTCTGAAGGTTGAATCGTGACAGGCAGTGGTTGTCAAGCAGCTTTATCAGTCAGAGCAAATCGGTCTTTGAAATGGACCAACTCTTGCCACACCAACTTTTGGAGTTTCCTCTGCAAGGCATTTTGGGAAGAAAACCTCTGAGGTTGGCATAGCAAGAGTTGGTACATCCCAAGGACTCTTTGCCTAATGACTTGCATTGACTGATGAAGCTCCTTTGATGAGCAGTGAAACATCTCAAGCTAACAAAAAATGTCCAGTTGTTCAACCTTCGGACACTGGATGACTGTGAGTCTTCAATGGTACTACCAATTAGAAAATGAATACAGGTTACTTTTAAACTTGGCTAATATTCTGCACAAATTCAGAAAATGGGTAAAATTGGTAGCCAGGCTAAATATGTCACCCAGGCATTCCAACCAGCAGTTTGCTGTTTTGCAGAATATCTGGTAGGCACAAGGAACCAGGAACAGGAGTTGAGTACAAAGCCCTAAAAGTTTATTACATGCAACCTATACACAAGAAGCGGATCTACTAACAATCAATCAAAATTGGTGCTAGATAAGGGTCAATGGAATTCAGGGTGGGGAGGCTGAACGTAGGTCTTTTGTGGGAGCATAGTAACTCCTAACTAATTGTGCATTTATTCCACCCTCCAACTCAGACTGTTCCCCTCCTGCATCATCTAGGCCAAAGTATGTAAATATAATGTAAATATATGTTTCTTTTCATTCGAGCCATCTTTTCCTTTCCTCCAATGGGGTGCTGGTGGCTTTCATAGTTGATTCTGTGTTATCCTGTTTCACACGTTCCATTTTCAAAAGGAGCATTATTTTTATGGCCAGTATTGGGAGCTACATTTAAATGTCTGCTCTCGAGTGTAATCAAGACTCAATTACCAAAAATAATTGTACTGTCTGAAACCAAACAATACAGTCACTGGGCATAAGCAATAACAGATGAGACCATTAAGAACTTAATGAGTGTAATAGTCAAATATCTTCTGAATCTCATTGGCATTTCACCTGTAGAATCCATTGCTAATAGAGGAGTTACTTCAAAGAAAGATAGTTTTTCTCCCTTAAATAATTTACCTTTAAATGATAGAATCAAGTTTGCTTTGTAGGAGGAGAACTTTGTTGGGTCTATGGGGGCAAATAAAAAAATCACGGGGAGGCTGGTAGCCCCTTTTCCAGCTAACTAATTTCATTAAATGGCTTAAAGCTTTCTTGAGCTGCAACTCATTTGATCAGATGTATAAAGTGGCTAAATTGATGTAGAATTTAAAGAGGGAGGAAGGAAGGGAGGAAATGACAAGAAGAAAGGTTGTTTATACAGATACAGGATGTACATGAGACAGATCATAAGTACCTTATCAATTAACAATTGAGATGTGTTCAAAACCCATTACATTTATTGAGACCTTCTGAGATTGCCTAAAACCTTTTGATGTGAATCGAGCATTCTGTTGCTCATCGTTTTTTATTTCTTATTTTATATCACAGAGTGAGGTACAGGGGTCATCTTAGCACTGAAAAGTTTAGAAGTTTGATGTAGAAATAAATAAATAAAAATTCAGGGTGGCCTCCTATCCGTTAAATTTTGGGCATATTCAACTTGTATTTGGAATGAGTAGAAAGCAGAAATGTTGAAGAAGCTTACACAACATGAGTCTACACCACCTCTTGTCTTAATTTGGTTGATGTTAGTTTACTAAAAAGACCACCATTTGCTAGCTTTTCATAATAAAATGTCAATGGTTTTGCTCACATAACATTCTAAGCCAAAGCTTAAAGGAACAACGTGATAGTTTAACACTACACATGAAGCCCACCGTAGACACTTCATGTGGCAGTGCCTTCAGAGATACCAGAGTTTACATCCCAGATCAGCTTGGTTCCTAAGCCAAAGCCAAACCAAGATCATTATGGCTGGAGTTTACATGTGATTCCAGTTCTTGGGTCAACCATCGTAAATACCTGTGGAGAGACCAGGTGACAGTTGCAGAGCAGATAATTTTTCCATCACAAGGAAGCCTCAGTCAGATCATGACGTTTCTTACCAGGATGATTGAGCTGCATAGTACTCCTGCTCCACTGTGACAGCCCTACAATAGCCACCATCTTGGCCCCCAGGCTGGATCGCCGCTTCTTAGTGGAGGAGAGACTGGCTGAATCTGGATGGCCACCATTACTCTTCTCTATGTTGTACATTTCTCCACTGATGCTGGAGCTGCGGACCACATTCCTGGCTGCAGAGTTGCTCGTCTCCCCATTCAGCATGACCACCTGGGGGGACCTCACTGGCTGCAGACCATCTGGGTGAAGCTGCAAGAGAAGACCAGGAGACATGAAGCAGGAGAAGTTGGTTCCTCTGTTAACAACAGAGGCAGGCACACTGCTTTGGTCTGTAAAATAATGGGATCAGTACATTCTCTATACTTTACCCTGACCTGATACCAAATCAACATGGGTCCAGCTAATTTCCTAAAGCTACACTTGCACAACCATACCCAAAAAGAGAGGAATGGAGACTGAATGAAAATTGCCCAGAACTATTAGATCCAGCAATGCTTTCTTGAGGAAGGCAGTCCATCACCACCTTTGGAGTACTGTAGAAAGAATCATTGCATCTCTCAGGCATGAATTTACCACCATGGATGTGCCATATATCATACCTGGGAGGCCTTAATCAACCAGGTGGGTTGTGGGTTTAATAAGCAGGTAGACAGAGTGACAGTTGTGAAGATCCTGTCCACTTCTGTAAGATTCTTTCCAGGCAACAGGAAAAGACCAACTCAACACAACCTGCCCAGTCAGAGCCTAACTTAGAAGAGATCCAGGCAACTTTATCCAGCAGAAGACCAGACTATTCCTCATGGAAGCTTTGTAGATGTGTTGGGAGAGGAGGAAGCAAGGGAAACTTCCCATCTTTTTTATTATTACAACTACAACCCAGTAATGTGTGACTAATGCCACATTTTCCAGGGATTTTCCATGGTTGAGGGAGGATCTGCACCTTGGTCTATCCGCTCCTGGTTCAACACCTGTACCACCACATCACAATGGTCTTTCACCACAATAAAATGGTACACAATGGAAGATATATTTAATATGTTTATAATACAATTATTCTCCCCCCAAAGTTGAGTATGTCTGGCAGGAAGATGTCTGTTGCTTTCTGTTGTTCCAAAAGGATAAAATGAACAAGAAATTGCCTGAATTTTAGAAAAGGTCAAAATGCCCATTACTGAAGATACATCCTGGAGGCTTTTGCTGGTGAATTTTGTTTGTTTCTTTTTTGTTTCATTAAAAATAATTATGATTTATAAATGCCAACCCTCTCTGCTTGTTAAAGTTCATGCTATTTGTACTATTGGATGACTAGTACCAACTACCAGATACAGTGAAAGCCAATCCATGCCCTGCTGGAGAGCTAAACTATATTTAATGTTCAATTTAATGTTTTCTAGGATACAAGAATAGAAATAGTAGCTATTCTTCACTCCTTCAGGAAGAAGTGATTGAAATGCAAAGATTATCAGAATGAATTCAGGGGGACCTACATTTTAACAGCTCAGGGGGTGACAAAATACCTTCCTGGAAGTTGTAATCTGCAGTCCAGAATCAGTTCCTCTAATCCCAGAAGGCTTGTTATCAGGAAAGACTGGTGATTCTTCCAAGTAGATTTCTTTATTGTTCCACGGGGTGTTTAGATCTGGCCTGCAGGGCCACCCTGGAAACAGTGGAAGACCAGCCCATGGTGCCTCCGCCAGAAAAAAATGGAGCTTGGAAGGGCTGTACATGGCACTCACGAGATCTGTTTTCACTGACAGAGGGTTGCAGGAGGCTGTTATGGCTGAAAACGGAGCTTGGGATACGGTTTTCGCTGGCAGAGCATTTGGGTCATCCCAAGTGCCCCTGTCATGAGGGACATCGAGCTGGCCATGCCCGCTGGCCATTCCCCACCCCAGCCTCCCTGAGGTCAACCCTGATGTGGCCCCGCAATGAAATCGAGTTTGACACCCGTGAGCTGGAGTACCAATGGTTTGGCACCAGACTCCATTCATGTAGCACACTCACTTCAGACAAAATAAAATATGACTAAAACCAGCCAAATGATGATCATGTTTTTTCAAACCAAAGACACCAGATAATATATCTTTCTAGGACTAGGGAAAAATGCATCAAAACCTTAGAGAACTGCTGTTAGTGTGAAAGAGCTTTCTGCACCTGTTCAAAATTGCTTTTCTGTGTTTCTAGGCATGTCTGGACAATAAAAGTATATAATAGGATTAAAACCATGGCTCACATGAATGTCTTTCATATGGCATCTAGACGGACTTGACCCCTTCTTATCAATGCAATGGCAACTGCAGCCACAAAACAAACTTCTAGCTGCACTGTATAGATGAGAATCTCTTGTTTTCATAGCTGACCCAATGATTGTATTTTAAAAATGCAGTCCTCTTATATGGGGGAAATAGCTGTGGTGGTGGTACTTCCAAAGGCTCACTGATGTGGTAGAATGTAGACTGGATTCCCAAGAGGGAGGGGCTGCATTCCAGAGGACCAGGAAACAGCAAATTTTGATTAGTTTGGTCAGGAGAAAGAAGGCTCCTCCCTAATGGTTCCCAGAGTATATCTATAGTGATTACAAGAATGGCTTTGGTGAGGAAAATAAAAGAAACAGTTCAGAAGTTATTCTTTGTGTCTTTGTCAATACTTGGGGCCTGACAGCTGGTAACCCCTGAAGCTTTAGCTAAAAAAGACTTATTTTGTTTTTTTTAATTTAGGTACTGGCTATCTCATTCTCTGAGTGGCCCTACTTTTTTTTGTCCCACTGGTTGGTGTTTCTGTGGCTTTGGATAATGAATCCTGCTAGCAGGAGTAATACATTCATTCATTTTGCTAGAAGCTTTGAACTTCAAATATTATGCAAAATTAGATAGGCAGCCTGAAACTGAAAACAGGGCTAACATATCCAGATGACTCAATTACCAAGATAACAAACAGTAACATTGCCATAAATACATTTGGTGCAACTTTGCTGGAGCCAGAGCTAAAAATGCTCCTATTTCTTTATATTCTTCTGTCACACTTTTGGTGCTGATTACATTTTCTCTAAGAAACATCTCCCCCCCCCCCCCGAAAAGCATTTAATGTAAGTATTTATCTTCTCCAATCTGGTCCATATATTCCTTCATTGGGTTACTGATGCTTTACTGATACCTCCATTCTCTAGTGCAGACTTTCTCAATCTTGACAACTTGAAGATATGTGCACTTCAACTTCCAGAAGTCCACACATCTTCAAGTTACCAAAGTTGAGAAACATTGCTAGAACAACAATTCGCAGTTAAATTCTGAGACTTGTACCCCAACACAACTAGAGATCACATGCAGAGGTCTCCAACCTTGGCAACTTTAAGACTAGTGGACTTCAACTCCCAGAATTCTCCAGCCAGCTGGCTGGAGAATTCTGGGAATTGAAGTCCACAAGTCTTAAAGTTGCCAAGGTTGGAGACCTCTGATAGAGGACAAAATCTATTCAAGAAATATATACTGATTGATTCACATGATACACTTAAATCAGGTCAGTTGTATGTCTGTTAGCTGCATTCTCACATTACCCTCAACCCAGCTAAAATTAACCTGCATTTCTTTTTAATGTTATTCTTTAGCATGTTATGTGAATCCAGGTTCACAATTCAACTTGTACAGACTGGTTGAATAAGGAGCTGCATGTTCGGTAAACCCAGACCTTGATTGAGAAAACATCACAAAAGCAGTTCATTTTTTGACAAGATATGTGTATGTAATCAAAGGCGACTGAAGGGAAGAAAACTCAAAACATCATATTCCCTGCATTATTCACTTCTTAATCATAAAGCCAAAGCTTCTTTCTTTCAAAACAACACCAGCATCATGCTACAAGCATTCTCCCAAGATGCCTCAATATTATTAAAATGTTTCCTGGAAAATGGCAAAACAGAATATTTCTATTTACATTAGAAATAACATTTCTATTTACAGTGCAAAATTGGCATTCTGTAGATGTTCTATGACACTTCCAGAACAATTTTCATGAAATCTTATAACCAGTGTTTCTTAATCTCAGCAACTTTCAACTGGGTGAATTTCAGCTCCCAGAATTCCCCAGTCAGCTGTTGAGATTTTAAAAAAAGATACATATTTCTTGGAAGTCTATGGAGATACTCAGTCATCTAGGACGTGGTTGTCCCAAAGGTGCTTTTCCAAAGGGCAAGTGGACTTTCTTTGTTTTTCCGTGAAGATGTTTCGCTTCTCATTCAAGAAGCTTCTTTAGTTCTTAGATGAGAAGTGAAACATCTTTAAGGAAAAACAAAGTCCAGTTGCCTTTTAAAAAAGCACTGTTGGGAAGATTTACCCTTTAACTTAATGCAACAACTTTTTTGTACCCTTTTTCAATGATCAAGTGATAATTATTTAGATATATTTTTAAGGCCAAGAATAAAAACAAATACATCATTACAAAAGCACACCACTTTTTCAAATATTTGTACTTGCATGGAGAACAGGAATGTTAAAGCATCCCTACATCTTCCTTTGCTCCCTGGATTTTACCTTCTCTGCTTGGTAACTTGGCAGAGTGTAGATACTACAAATTGCATCTGGGGACCATGAAGAGGCTTGTCCCCTTCCTCCCCCACCTGCAGATTCCAAAATCAGAGCCTTTCTTGGACCATTTCTCCTTATGGGTCAGCCTAGCTCCCTGGTCTCTCAGAACAGACCTCTGATTCGGGGTGCTGCCAGAAAAGGTGTGAAGTGCCCAGCTGGATTACTTACTAGCTTTGGTTGTTTTTTCCCCCTTGCTATGAATAATTCAGCCTTCCAGGGTAATGGACGCCTCCTTCTTCCTGAGGAAACTAAATTATTCATTCCCAGCCACTTTGCAACAACAGAGGGAGAAGGTATTGGCAACACCTGGGAAAATGTTTCCAGGAACACCACTGATATAAAAGAGGAAGTAGGAGAGACAAAAAGAGAGATGGAGGAAAGAAGAGAGGCGAAATAAATAATAAAATCACCATTCTTGACTACCGAGCAGCAAACGGCACGCCTTCCACCAGCAGGTCGAACTAGAACCGGACAGCAGCATTCAGCAACTTTTCTTTCTCTTCCCTAGCAACGCCTGTGGTTTCTCTTTTCGGGAACGGATGTTATTTTGATTTCCAAAAGTAGCAGCTGGGGAAATCAGTTCATTTCGCCAAGCCAAGCCAAAGTGTCCAAGTCAGAGATGGGTCAATTGAGAGCCATCAGTAGAAACCAGACCACTGCCGTTCC